TGCTGCCCCACCCAGGCCAACTGGGGTGCTGGGCGTGGCCAAGAGGCAGCCATCACCTGGTCACCAGGGCTGAGATGATGTCTGTGATGGTGCCGTTGACCTCAGCCAGCATCTCCTCCACTGGGCCGGGGATGGGCAGCTGCTGGCACAGGTGCTCAGCTCTGCGGATCTGCTGCCGGTTCTGCCAGATGATCTCTGCCAACTTCTCACACCTGCACGGGTGCCCCGAGGCCACCGGGAAGGACAGTGGCTTCACTCCCACATCCCCCAGGCCAGAGGCTGGAAGGTTCCCAGGCTGGGGAGGAGGCCCAGACCCAGCTCCACCCCCAGGAAGCCTTGGCGCCTTAGCCACCTCTCCTGTCCACTGGGCAGAGCAGAGCTGCCCCGCCTTCCAGAAACACACAGGAGGAATGACCCTGACTTGGGTCCAATCAGCCTGAGTGCCACACTGCACATCAGGCCCTGCCCCACTTCCCGGTTCAGTGACTCCCCTCATGGGGAGGTAGCCCAGGATCAGGGCACCGAAGTCCTTATCAAGACCCAGAAGCACCAGTGAAGTAAGACCTGCGCCTGGACAGAAGGAGCCGGCTGCACGTGTAAAGGCGGGAAGCAGAATAGCAGCTGCGGCACCGCTCTGGGCCCTGCCCGCCTCCCCCACACCCATTACCAGGACTGTAGCACGTCCAGGCTGCCCTCGGGGGGCCCTCCGTTCCCGGCCAGCTGCTGCCGCCGCTTCCACTGGATCAGTTCGTCATCCAGAATGATGGTCTGCTGCTTCCGCAGCAGCTGCAGGGTCTTCTGGTGCTTCTCGGCCAGCTCCTGCAGGGCGGTGGGGACAGCAGGCCCTCCTGGGCTCCCAGAGAACAACCCCGCAGGCCCCCTCAGCAGGTGGGGCCCTTCCCCTCTCCCCCACGGCTCTGCCTCGCAGGCGTCTTCAGGAGAGGATCTGGCCTCCTGTTCTCCTCCTGGCTCTCTCCCTCTCTGGGGTCACCAGGACAGCTTGGGATGTCACCTTTCCACCTGGGAGGAGAGGGACACAGAGCCACTCACCACGCGGTACTGCTGCAGCGTCTGGGCCTCGCGCTGCAGCCAGGCCTCCAGGGTCACCTGCTTCTGCTGGAGGGCCGTCTCCCGGCTCAGACGCTCCTGCGGGTTCAGCTGGGCCAGCTGGGCAAACTGAGCTAGAGGAGGGACAGACACCACAACCATGATCTCCCACAGTCCAGCAGGAAGCCGGGCAAGACCCTCCAGGGACACATCTGACCAACGGCGAGTCGGGTTCTACAGCCAAGGGTGCCCAGAGGTGAGTGGGCACCGTTGCGTGGCCCTCCAACTCTGAGCTCCTCTCCAGGAAATGGGGGGACGCAGGCCTGGGGTACAGCTGGGGAGGATCCTGCCCATGGCATCCCTTTCCCCACAGCCGTCCCACCCCACCCAGGGTCCAGCTTGGAGCCACGCTGCCTGGTCCCAAGTGCGCCCTCGCCGTTCACCAGGGGGGAGAACTCGGGCAAAGCCCCTCCCTCTCCTATGCCTCAGTTTCCCCGTGGGTGACACGGGAGAATCCCAGCGTCTGCCTCCGTGCCCGCTGTGAGGTTAAACAAGGGATGACACAGAAAACACTCCAGAAGCTGCCTGGCACGGGTACGCCCCAGGTGAGAGGCAGTCCTTATGCTTAATGGTTACAGGACGGGACTGAAGGGTGGCGGAGACCAGCAGCTTCAGCCCCAACCTCACACGGCAGAGCCTCGTCAGGAAGGCCCCGCTCCGCTGGCTTTGCCCCGACTCCCAGGCGCAGCAGCCTCTCCTCGGGAAGGAGGGGCCTTGTCCTGGTGCTGAAGGTGCCTAACATGCCTGTCCAGGTTGGGCCACTGTGAGCTCAGCTGACCAACCGGGGGAAACAGAGGCGGGGAGAGGGGTCCAAGGCCCACTGGGGACACAAAAGCAGCAAAATGCTCTCAGGAGAGGAGGTAGCTTCTCTCCACACCAGCTGTTAGGAATCTCATCAATGGCAGGAATAAGGCAATGAGGCCTCGCTGACTCTCTTTTCAAAAAATCTGTTATGAAATACTTAAGACACAGGGAAGTAGAAGGATGATACCAGGAACACCTGTGTGTCAATAATCCAGCTTAAATCAAATATCCCCACAGTCCAAGCACCTGTACACCCTCCCCTGCTTGCAGACCCACCCCTCCCTCCAAAGGTAAACACTATCCTGGATGCTGGGATTCCTACCCCGGCCACTAGCCTTTCTGAACACCCCAGTGTTCTCCCTGGGGCTGAGTCAAGAAGACGTGAGCGTCAGCACGTCTTGGTCAAGTTCCTGGCAGGCCTCTGAGGGCCATGTCACACTGACCTCGGCCCCGCCCCCGTGGACGCACACTCTGGGACAGACCAAAGCAGCTCTGGACAGCCAGGAAAGCCCAGAACTGAAGAGAACTGAGAAATCGGTTCCATAAAGACTGCAGGGGGCTGAGCAGGAAGAGTACTGTCCAGGCAAGGAACGCAGCAGAATAACCTGGACGGCCACCTCGGAATCCTGCCACCCGCAGGGAGGAGGTGGTGATCCCGACACCTGGGCCCGGCCTCCCTGTGCAAGCGAACCACTGAGGTCTCTCCTCGCAATTTGCACAAGCTCTGGGAGGGACGCCAGAAAACGTGAGGCAATTGTCTGCTCCACTGGAGGGAGCTGAG